GGGGGGGGCGGGGCGGGGCGGGGCGGGGAGCAGCGCGCGGACGGCGCGTGCGCCCGCACTCAGCCAATCGCGAGCCTGCCTTGCGACTTCCGCTGAAAGTCTTCCCTCCGCGGGTCTCTTTTTTCAGCCTTGTTGTTTCCCTCCGGCGAGTCTGCGTCAGGGACGAGTTTCCGTTTCCGGCGGTGTCCACGCGGGACTGACGAGGAGTACAGTCGTGAGCCTGGTAGCCCCCGCGGTGTTGGGGAGGCGGGCGGCGGCGGGGTCCTTGAGGTGAGGCTGGACCTCTGGGAGCATCGTGGGTCGCGCGCTTGGTAATGGCTCCCCTCGGTCCTTCCGGACAGTCTGTGCTCCCCAGGAGTGCCTCATGCGCTGGGCAGACCTGGTTCGCATCTGCTGGAGAGGTGCTCCGAGGCCGTTGGGCAGTGACGAAGAGAATTCGTGCAGAGCCGGAACGGGGAGGGATGGCGGCAGGGACAGGTCGTTTCATGGCGGGGTAATCGAAGCAGGTGCCTTAGACTTGAACTGGATCTGTTGACTCCAGATGGTGCGTTTCCCACCAGAGAGACGGACAGACAGAGGGAGAAGCAGCACACGTTCAAAATTAAAATATGGTAGAGAAGAAAAGTGATTTTTCCGATATCACATAGCCATTTAGTTTCAAAGCATCCTTAGAGCCCAACTCTACTAACTCCCGGCCAGTATTCCTTGACATTATGCTGATAGATAAGGACTTTTCCGTTTCCGCTGGTGTGTGTGTGTCTGTGGGATACCTCTGACTGACCTGCCTGCCCCAGGAGCACCCTGTGCAGCCTTTCGATGTGGCCTTTACAGTAGGGCACAGAAGATGCTAGTTTGGATTTCCTCCACTAGTCAGATCATAGTTGTAGCCATCTCCTGGGACAGTGCCTAGTGCGTCACAGGCAGGCGCAAATACTTATTGAACTGAAATTAATTCAGTACCTTAATTAAATGGAAAGGCTCACGCCCCCCCCCCATTTTTTTAAAAACCAAGCTGTCAGATTATATGAAGCCTGATTGCCTAAAAAACTCACTAATCCAGTAGTTCCCACTTTGTGGGCCATGGATTTTCGCGATGCCCAGACACCATTGTAAGAATCTGCAAATCCATGTGGTCTCTAGGCATCACCCAGAACCAATCATATCTCACACTCGTAGATGTTACTGTTTTTCAAATGTAGATGACTATTGTGGTTTAGAAGTGTTTAGAAGTTTTACAGAGTCAACAGGTACTGAAAGTAATACTGCTGTCATGGTGGATGGTCATTAAAATATTTAAAATGTTTTGTTTGAAATTTAAGTTTTAGTTTAAGAAACCACTTCATTAGTCTAGTTGATATTAAATAAAATAAAAACTTTATTTTTTCAGTTTCCCTGGGTGCATTTTAAGTTCTCAGTAGCCACATGTGTCTAATGGCTCCTGTATTGAATAGTACAGACGTAGAATATTGTCATTATCACAGAAATGGACAGTGCTGATGTTGACACATAAGATGAACTAAAAAGTAAATTAAGCATAAAAAGTAATTTTAGCAGAGATAACTTACCTACTTTATAGCATAATAGAGAGAAATGGAATTGGGGATATTAAGTGGTTTCTATCCCTGTTGGGTGAGCAAATACATTCTCTCTTTATAAAGAAATAAATTAAATTTACTCTTTTTCCCTGGGTGTTGCCAGGATTGTAAAATGCTTCCTCTGCCACCCCACCCCCACCACATTCTTGCAGGTTAGAGTTATTTGTGAATTGGTAAATAGCCACTATGGAGACTAAGGACCAGAAGAAGCACAGAAAGAAAAACAGTGGGCCTAAAGCTGAGAAGAAAAAAAAACGGCATCTGCAGAATCTCCAACTTGGAGATGAAGAAGATGCCCGGAAGAGAAATCCCAAAGCTTTTGCAGTTCAGTCTGCTGTGCGAATGGCTCGATCCTTTCACAGGTATGTTTAGCTGGAGTCTGGTGGTTCTTCCATTTATTCTTGTTAAATGGTAGGAGCCTCTCACAGATGACATTTGAATTTATGAATCTAGTCCAGCTCTGAAGGACATGGAGATACATGCCATGTGGTTTCTGGTAAAATATGAGAAGCTGTTCCCATAGAAGCTGCCTTTCCTCCAGCATCTGTACACTGGTTAGCGTTTTTTTTTTTTT